TGCCTCTATCCTCATTTTACCAGCCCCTTCGATATAACACATGCTTCATCACTTTGCATTTCATCAAACACACTTAAAGGAGTATTGAGGTTAAATATTTTAATAAAACATAATAATTTCCCCAGTTGATAGTGCATTATGCTTATGTGCAGCCGTATAGATATTTCTTACAACAATCTTTCAGCGGCCTCACAGCCACCTACTTGTCGAGAAACTCTGTAAGAACAGAACTGTCCCTTAATTAGCTCTCTTGTCTTCCTACAGCTTTTAACTTTTAAATATTATTTTGTTTCATCAGAAATTTGTTCAAAAGCTCATCTAAAGGAAACAACTTGTAAGCTTCTGTTTGTTCCATAGCCTTTTTTTCATTTGCTTCCATTTCTTGTGGGTCAAATTTTACTGAATTCAAGCTTATTTCTCCTTTATGAAATTTTAATCTAGAGAAAATGATAGATGCCTGACGAGGTTCCCTTGTTCTAAAGGTGATTTTCTTATTATAGACTTTTTTCATTCTTTAAGTAAAATATTTCATCTCTTCTAAAGATAAAAGCCTGTTCCTATGCTATGTTTGATCGTATCTAATCACCATTATACTGCTCTATCTGAACAGATCATTATTCAGTGAATATAAATTGTGGTGGAGAAGCAGTTACCATTGGAGAGATCAAGTATGATGCTGATGAAGATCCAGGAGGTCCAGCAAAATATTTTCCTGTGCAAGAAACTTGGGAAACTAGTAATACTGGACTTTTCTGGGATACTAGCGGTACTGAACAGGCATTGATTGCCAATAATGTGTCTATAATCAGGGCAAACAACTCTGAATTGTACACCAAAGCACGGCTATCACCTCTTTCTCTGACGTATTATCTACGTTGCTTAGCAAATGGAAGCTACACTGTCACACTTCACTTTGCAGAAATAGTCATCAGAGACAATAGATCCTTTTACAGTCTTGGAAGACGAATTTTTGATATTTATGTGCAGGTAGGCAATAATTATTATACATTCACTCCATATTTAAGGAAGATGGAGACTAATTGTGCCTATTGCAGGAGAAACTTGAGTTTGAGAATTTTAATATTGAAAATGAGGGAAAAGGTGTTGATAAGCCAGTCAATAAGACAGTTAAAGCAGTTGTCAGCAATAAAACGTTAACAATCCGCTTTCACTGGGCTGGAAAAGGGACAACTGATGCACCAGCTAGAGGAACATATGGTCCTCTTATATCAGCTATCTCTGTAGAATCTGGTAAGTTATCTATATTCTGCATTAGGACTTCATCCTCAAGGTAATCTTAACTTTTTCAACCGTTTTTCTTCTTTTATATAGATTTCAAGCCCCCTCCACCTCCAGTTACTGCAATTTCTGATGATGACAACAGAAGGACAAAAGTTCTGGTGGCCAACAGAAGGACAAAAGTTCTGGTGGCCATCATAGTTCCTGTCTCATCCCTTGTTTTCATAGTTTTAGGTGCCCTATGGTGGAAAATCCATAGAGGACATGATGCATCAAAGGAACAAGGTAATCCAACCATAGGAAAGATAGTTGCCTTTTCTTTTTAAGAGAAACTGTCTACACAACTAAGTCCTAAATTGGATTATCTAATATAAAACATACTTATGCTTGTCCTCCATGGCTACTTATTTTGACCCTTTTCTTCATCCTCTTCTTAAGTTCTGGGAGGACTTGATCTGCAAACTGGATTTTTCACCTTCAGACAAATCAAAACTGCTACTGACAACTTTGATCCTGCAAATAAAATTGGGGAAGGTGGTTTTGGATCTGTTTACAAGGTGAGGTGTCATATCTCTCCATCATTCCGTTTGGTGTGTTAACACAACATTTGGCAATTCCTCATATATGATTTTTTTCATTTTTCATTTTTGCCATCTTCCATATATGATGAAATATAATGAAAGTTCTGTTTATCCAATTCAGGGCATGCTACTAGATGGTACAATAATTGCAGTTAAGCAACTTTCTTCAAAATCA